AGGAGGAGGAGGAGGTCGACCTAGCCGCACGACCCTCATCCTGAAGCGAGGGGTAATAGCAACTCTCCTGTCAAGATACAAGGATGAGAAGCACACGATGTCAAAATGCCTTCTAATCGCGTACCGTTCTCTCTCCGTGGGAGCACCCAATCCCACGACTTGCAGGACCTTGGCGTTTTAAAAAAGGATTTAATAGTCATCGGCCTGAGAGCCCGAGGTTCGGTGAGCGCGGGTGCAAGACGGAGGCAAATTCCGTCGATTGCCACGACGTCGAAGCACGCTTGGGTCGTAACAACCGGCATCGTGGCTGCTCATCCGTATCTGCATATACATATATAGCGCTCTATCGAGATCACTCGGTCCCCGTAATAGAAATAAGTCCGGATAGCCGTCTTCAAGTATCAAACGAAAGTAAAACGAACTTTATTATGCCGCTCGGGGATCCTAGATGAAATTTACAGCGTATTTCAGCCCGGTAAACCCCCAATAATTATTACCGATAATATCGGGCCGATATTATCAACGTTACACGGGTAATGTTAAATTAATTTTGATACACATAATGCTACATGTAATATCGATCGCGGGACGTGTACGGACCCGGGCGTGTTTAATGTAAACGTATTATCAATGAACTAGTTGGTTACCAGCGCGCGTGTGTATGACAATCCATCTATTTCAATCAGTGAGGACGTCCGTCCAAAGTAACGGATCGCGCGTTGCGTACTTGAAATTTTTCTAGGGTCAACTAACGTCAGTTTGTTCGGACAGATGACATCTCCGTTATCGACGCCATTGTAACACACTCATTTTCCGAGCCTCTCCCTCCCCCCCCCCTCTCTCTCTCTCTCTGGCTCTCTCGAGTGATGCGACGGACCGCACGCATGCAAGCGGAAGACTGTCAATTCAGTCAATACCGGCAGTGCAGCAACGAGACACGCATTACTTAATCTAGCGACATGTCCCCACGTGAAGCTCCCCATTTAGAACGCCTGATGATGAAGCCAAATTCGCGCACGAGATAGTAAACAGTCTTTTTACAATACCTCAGTCACGTCAATCGTACAAATCACGAAGTAACAAGCGCGGAGAAGATCCGAAGAGCATCTCATTATTCCGACTCGAGAGATTTATCTATGTTTGTGAGCATGATGAGAAACAAAAGTGTAAAAGTGCACACATTTCTATTTCGAACGCGTGCTATCGATCGCGAAAAATAATTTATCGAATCTGTAATGCCACGTATTCATATAACGTGATTTAATATTTGATATTTGCATGTTAAAGTCTTTTGCGATATCGTATGCGGCTTCTCGCCCGCTCTTTTCCCTCCGGCTTTCTTACCTTCTACGTTTAATAAAAGAAAGAATCCGGGGGAAAAAAGATGGTTCCTGTCGGTCGAAAAGTCGGGACTCCGCCATCTCTTGTAGGTGCAGCGCGCGTACCGCGAGGTCTCGTGGCGCGTTTGCGAGCACGAAGGGTCAGTAGCCCCGAGCGTGTTTGCAGCGAGCGGCTCCGTGGCCTCGCAAACTGGTTTAGCAAAAGTCAAGATCTAGATCGCGACCTTCTTGCAGCCGTTCACGACTTTGCGCGAGCTCGCGACGGCGTCTTAATACGCGAGAACGCGCGTAACGAGGTTTATAATAGCAATACAGCATGGAGCCAGATTACTTCCCTCCTCATCGCACCCGCCATTCGACATAAATGAGTACATCGAGTGCTGTTTGTCTTGCAAACAATAGACGATAGATTTGCACACGATTTTCGCTACATAAATTTGAAAATGAAACGATAAAAGATTAATTACACGTTGAGTTTACTCAACTAGAACATAGCGTTGCGCGCGTTATTTAGTCTTGATCGAAGATATTCAAGAAGCTCAACGATTACACGTATGCAAACTGTTTAAATATTATACGATCGTCGAAAACTCGGCGATCGTTCAAAACACATACGCGACGAAATAATAAAAAGTCAAATTATTTAAATGTACGGATAGATCGTAAACGCGATTAGAATAAAATTGGCGTATCATTAAATGCAACTAACAATCCTAAGTACGAAGTTTGTTAAATATAGAGAAAAGTCCCCCCCCCCCCATGCATATAAAATATGCAAGGCAAAGAAAATATATTTTCTATCTTTCTTTTCATTTTGTGATACGCACATAATAACAGATTTTCTAAATTTCTATTTCCTCGCACCAATTTCTATAATGCGTGATCTTAAAAGATTACGAGATCACGAAGAAAATTGTCAATATGAAAAGAAAATTAAATAACACCCCCCCCCCCTCTCTCTCTCTCTCTCTCTCTCTCTCAAATATCAATTTATTTTTATTTCACATAAATACAGCTAGTATGCGTAAATATTTCTTCGTCGTCCATCGTCCAAAAGATGAGCGTCACGACGAAATTTAAATAAAAGTTTGATACCATAATCACAAAATTGTTACGTATGTTTTTATCTCTAGCTCTTATTCGATTTTTTTTAATAAATAAGACAAGGAGCAGATGCTTATTCAGGAAATAGCAAATAATATATAAAGCACTTACCTCGTGGTTGCTCCGCAGTTACCCGATGCCACCCAGGGACTCCTCCTCCTCTCAGATTTCCTTGTGGCACTCACACATTTGCACAATATTCACTCGCGAAAATGATTAATTACGGTCGCGCGAAATTTCGCGTGGCACTTCCGTACGCGACGTGAAATACCGCGAAACGCACCAAGTATTATTAACATATGTCGCGTGACTTTCGCATCACGCAAATTACTCAAACCGGCGACTCACATGTCATCTCGCACT